CGAAAGTAAGATATACTACATTACTGATGTAAATGATAGACTGTACTGATACAGCAACTGTTACAATGGCGTATATCGTCACGTTAAACCCATACTCTAAACCATGAAAAGGGGGTCAACCTGAAAAGTTTGGTTGTTTGGTTTCCGCCAAAGTGCAAATATTTCACTAATACATTGATGCGTCATCGTAGCTCACCTCAATACACAATTGAGTAGAAATCATTCGCAGAAGTGAGGGAGTATTAAAGACCTTCTTGTGAAGCTAAAGCCTGTCCCCAAGGCCTTCGAGACAAACTAATCCAACAAAACAGACGTGTCTCCACAGGATGTATTGCTTCTTTGTTGAGTTTCCACAATAGAAAAGAAAAACCGGTCGCAACATGATCTCAGCCTCCTTAACTTGAAAAGGTTTCCTCCGTCTAAGTGGACTGTAGTCTCAACCTCGCTTCGCTCCCAACAGCGTTACCATTGAAAGATGCAGACTAAAAGATTATAGGTCTTTTTGAAAGGAATACATATCGTATTTGTGTTGCCTCTGCGCTCGCACAATCTGGCTTCGAGTCCCGTTTGCGTGACCAACTAAGCTATCGATGACACATTCAGGAGGTTACTTCTTCGTCATGCACATAAACAATCATGCTGAAGAAGACGTGATTGATAAGTATGTCCTGTGGATTAGGTTACTCACCGCAATCTTCCTCTTTTCTGGAAATTCCACGGACCACAGTTGCAGCTCGCAAACTTGAAAGGTAGCAGAGATTTGGCACAGCTCGAAGCGCTACATCACCATTAATAAGCTTCAGTTTTCGAAGACCGAGAAACGTCAAGTCGGATGAATTCATGATGATGATACCGGCACCTGAAGTCTGTTCTGGGACTGGGGCGGAGGTATTTCGATGAGATACGGGAAACCGAGGATAAGAAATAGAGTAAAAACAGTCGGAATGATAAACTGTTTCCAGTTCAGGGCACAGCATGATACAATTTCAAATGCTACATTAACAAAAGAGCCCTAAACAAGATGTTCACCTTTATGGAGGAAAGTGAAATATTAATAAAAGCCAGAAGAAAGGGACGTCACGGACAGAAAGTGTCCTAGATACGGAAAGTAACTTGATTTCGAAGAATCCTTTAATAGATTCATGCTGGAGTACATCACTCGCTTCTTCAAACGAAATGAAAGTTACTCCAAAATTAACTGGGTTTCGTTCACTTTTCAGAGTGGGCCACAGTATCGAATATGACCACCGTGAAGACACACAGAAAGATTTCGAACATTCTTCATCCTGATGCAAATAATACACAAAATAGGCATTCAGGCGTCTACTTTTGAATGCTCGATTTCTTGGACAGAACCTGGGCTAGGAAAAATCTCTTGATTGCTCGTTATTTGATACTGGCATACCATTCATTTCGTTTGTAAAGGCGGGTGAAAGAGATTCGTAGATTGGACTCACCGGATACCAAAGGTTGGTTGCATTGGACTGTTATCAGTTAAAGTGTGCGAAGAAGACCTGAGATTTTATCCGTCATTTGACGGATATCATGAGAGGCAGAAACCATTATTCACGAACATTCACCAAAAGCATTGAACAAAAAAAGTGGCCAGCTGAGATGCTACTTACTTTTTATAATTCACTTTACGATATTAACGAGACATTCCATGATTTGGTTGGCTCTTTTATGT